TTTAAAGAAAATACTTTTTCAATTTCTTAAAAATAAAAGCCACCTCACCAGGCCTCTGGAGAATCGTCCCGCTTAGAGGGATCCTGGGATGGGGGATAGGGGAGTGATTCCCAACTAATAGAACAACCCCTTGGGGCAAAGGGCAGCTGGTGTCAGATGTCCATCCTGATACAGATTGTCCGAGGAACAGGGGGAGCACAAAGGTGACTTAAAGCCAGTTTTGCCTCACCACTCCTAAGCTGTGCTGCAGCCCAGGACCTGGTCCAAAGATAATGATGTACAGAGCTGACCCCCACACACTCCTCCTCTCTTCCCCCCCCCCCCAAAGCCAAAAAATTAAGCTTTGGTTTTTTTTGTTTTTGTTTTTTTGGGTATTCTCTCCCCACCACCACCACTACCCTGCGTGCAGTACAATGAATAATGCCCAGGATGGCGTTTCCCCTCTTTTTCTTTTGCTTTCTTCCCCCTTCTCTCACACTGTAACTTTTGAAAAGTTGAGGGAATTTTGATAAGTTAGAGTGGCAAAGTTAGAGCTTAATTTTTCCATATGTCCCTCTGTAATTTTTTCAGAAGTGGAGAAGTTTTGAAACGTTACAGAGTGGAAAAAGGAAGAGAGAGAAGACAAAAAAGTAGAGCCTCTCCCTAATCTCAGATATCATTCAATGGCCAAAAATGGGAGGGAGTGGGGGAGAAAGGGATGACAAAAACTTGAATTTGTGAAAAAATTGCAGTTTTGAAAACCTAAATGAAAATTTCATTTAGAAACCAAATGAAAAATGTCAGATGAGCCAAAAGTCAGGAACAGAACCTAAACTCGGTCTCATCCATGCTCCTACCCACTTACACAGCACTTCTTCCTGACTTGTGCAGGAATGTGTATTTGTAATCAGGCTGTGTCAGTTAAACTTTAATTAAACAGGTCTGTTATTTTTCTGTCCCTTCAAAGCTGACGCCACCACCCTGCCCTGCCCCCACTCCACACACCTAAGAAAAGCCGAGTAGAGTCATTGTAATCACTGGTATAAAATATTCTCTCTCCTCAGTGTTACTCACATCTATAAAATTGCAATATTTTTTGACGTTCTACTGAATGTCTGATCAGTTTCATTCTTTCCCAATGGCTGACTGAACCGAATCTCATTCTTCTCTTATGAGTTTGGTTGTCATGGGGATATGGCTATTGGTTAATTTATGTAAGCTATTTATGAAGGGAGAGGCTTTTATTTTTAATATGAAACTTTCGGTTGTCCATCTGTCTGCTCATCAGACTTGGAGCCAGAAAACATGAGTAGGAAGTGATGAAGTAACCGATACCCTCAGAAGCAGGGTCTGCAGTATACTGGTATTAGAGCCATCTGCCCACCAGGTGTCACAGCTGATCCAAAGATCTGTTTCTATCAAATTGTACAACTAAGGCCTGGTCCACCCTAGGGTGTTTTGTTTTGTGCCACGGTTGTATAGTTGATATGTGATTTTTGTTTTTGGTTTGTTTGTTTGGGTGTTTTGTTTTTTGCTACATTAACTACACAGGTAGAGTGGTATAGTTAAAGCAGCAAAACAAACAAACAAAAAACAAATAAACAAAGCTAGTGTGGATACAGCTATACTGCTATAAGTCACCTTTATAACTTTGTCCACACTAGGACTTTATGCTAGTATAACTATTTCAATGAAGATATCACTGCCCTAACCAGAATCATTCTACCCGTACAACTTTTCTGTTCTCCTCCGACAAAGGTTTTCGTGTTTTTAATTGTATAGAATGGACCATTTTTTAAGTAAAATTATTTTCATGGCGTGATTTCATTTCAACCTAAGCAGGACTTCACTATAACTGAACTAGCATCTTGTGTATTGCAACGCTTTGAAACAACCTGCCACTGTTTTATGAGCTCACTGTCAAGTGAGTTTTGTTATGAGTTCACCAGGTGTGGCTTTAACTGAATTTTTCTTAGGCAAACATTTCACTTAGGTGAAGGAATTATACAGACTTTGATCCTCTGCTAGCTGCTGGAAAAGCCATCCTGACTCCACCCCGACCAAGGACACTAGCCAGATTTCTTCCCCACCTTAAGCTGTCCAAGCATCTGAATAACCCCTGACCAAGGAGAAACCCCCCTCTCACCTAACAACCTCCATGTGCTACAGCCCAGCCAGTGCTCCCAAGCCTCGCCCTGGACAAAGGACACTTATCTAATACCCTTTGTTATAGAAGAGGCTCCTGCACCCAAACTACCACAGAAAACCCTCCTTGTGTATGAAATGTATAAATAAACACACATCAACAGAATATTTTCAGGCCTTTTTTTTTAAATGGCAACAGAAACCACTGTTTTTATACAAGTAAACATTCCCTTGCAGTCCTAGCAAACCAAGTTAAGGCACCAAGCGAAACACACGAACTGAACAGAGCTATCCTGATTTATACCAGCTGCTCCCTTTTAAAGATTTGTGGGTGAAGCAGCCTCAGGAGTTCTTTGGCTGGCTGAGCTGAAGATACAGGATACATTTAAGAATGGGGCAGCTCCAGCTGGAGCAAAGCAGTCAGCTCAGGTAGAAGGCAAACAGAAAATGCAAGAAACCCAACAGGCATACACCAAGGTAAAGTGCAGGAGGGAGTGTCTGACAGAAGCAAGATGGAATGTCTACAAAGAACTTAGTCTGATTTCAATCTGAGGAATAAGAACTGAGGGAGAGAGAACGTGGACAAGAAGTTCAAGTGAGTCTGTTGTAAGTGTGTGTTGTGGCGGAGAGATTCACTTTTATTGTTAAGAGCAATATGGAAAAGGCCAAATTCTTAGGCCTGGTCTACACTACGGGATTAATTCTGATTTAGCAGCGTTAATTCGAATTAACCCTTCACCCGTCCACACAACAGAGCCATTTAGTTCGAATTAAAGGGCGCTTTAAATCGATTTCTGTACTCCACCTCGACGAGCGGAGTAGCGCCAAAATCGATTTTGTTAATTCGAATTAGGGTTAGTGTGGCCGCCACCACCGAATTAATGTGGTTAAAATTAATGGGGTAGTGTGGCCGCACACCACCGAATTAATGTGGTTAAAAACCGAATTAATGTGCTTAGTGTGGCCGCGCACAATCGAATTTATACAACCTGTTTCCCAAATTTGAACTATCTAAATTCGGATTAATCCCGTAGTGTAGACATACCCTTAGACTGAAGAAAAAACACCCCACTGTGAAGTGCTCATATTACAGTGATGAGGGGCATTTTAAGTATTTTAGATAAATCCCATGTAATAATGGCAACATATGATCCAATAAGCAAAGGCTGGCCCTGAGTCCGATGTAGTGAACAGGTTATAATAGCCACAGCATATGGAATGTTTTGCTAGCACAGCTTACTAAACATGTTGGCATATGAATGTTCTTGTCTTGCAGTGGTATAAAGTGTGATTAAGAGATCACAGGGTTAAAAAATGGTGAGTTTCGTTTCTTAGGTGGTCAGTGGTTAGAGGAGCAGAAGTCAGGATAAGTAGGTTCTATTCTCAGATCTGTTGCTGAGGCCAGACCCGTACTAAAAAAATTAGGTCAGTTTAACTACGTCAGTCAGGTGTATGAAAAATCCACACCCCTGAGCAGTGTTGTTAAGTCAACCCAAGTCCCTGTGTACACAGCGCTTCTGCTACCACCTCCCAGAGAAGTGGATTACCCATGGCAATGGAAGAACTCCTCCCATCAGCGTAGGTAGTGTCTACACTGAGGCCCTACAGCTGCACTTCTGCAGCTGTGGTGTTTTAAGTGTAGACAAGCTCTGACTTACTTTGTGACCTTAGTCAAATCACCTATCCTCCGTGCCTTAGTTTCCCTATATGTAAAATATCTACAACACATATTGTGTAACCTACTTAATGAATGTTTGTAAAGGGCTTTGAGATATTTGACTGGAAGGTGCTATTCAGTATAAATGCAAAGCAGCATTTTGAAATGTACTCCTATTTAGCTCCCAACAGCTATTTTATTCCCTCGAAACACGTGAAATGAGTTGGTGGGGTTTATAGTCCAGTCTCTATTACCCAAGACACCACCTCACAAAAATCCACCCTCACAACTGGTTTCCTTATGACAGTCTCATAGGGTTGCCAACTCTGTCTGAAATTATTCTGGGGAATTCCCCCCCCCCAACGTATGTCGTTTTCTTCCAGATTGCTTTCAATATTCCCTGGGAGATCAATGTCAATTCCGGGAGACTCCAGGGCAATCCTGGAGGGTTGGCAAGCCTACAGTCTCAGCTGAGAAATTCAGGCTGCAATCTCTTACTCCTAAAAGCAGCCCCCTCCCCCCCATCAGAACTGAGGCACAAAAGCTGCAGGAAAAGCTTATACTGCCACTGTACCCGTCCTGTGAATAAATGCAGGACTTCATTCTCCTTGGCTGTCAGGCTAGCACCTTTCACAAGCACTAGGCCCACATCTACTCTACAATAGAGTAAGAGGGCCCAGTTACAACACAACAGATCCCTGACCTGATGTTCAGGGGACCTAACCACTTCTGAGAACTGGGTTAGAACTTTGGGCTGGGAGCTATAGCAGCAGTGTAGACCACCAGGCCTGTAAAGAAATATGGTGTGTCACTGTTAAGAGCATCATGTGAGTGATTAATCAGTATCTTCTATGGCCTTTGAATAAATGCAAGTGAAAAAGAAAAAAATGATTTATTTCATTTCTTTCTTAATTTGTAGGAGTATCCCCAGAATTATTATGAAAAGAAAAGTACTTTATCAAAATGGTGGTGCAATCTGACCTAAATTGATGAGAAACGGCCATTGAATCAGATAGGTGTTTCATCTGGAGGACAGTTCAAATGTTTGCCCCAAGGAACGGTAGCTGCCACAGACTTTTTGCTTCCCTATTGTAAGAAAAGTCACATGGGCACCATCAGCCCCACCCCTTAGTTCCTCTTAATGTAGATTGGCAAATTGCTAGAGTACCTCTTATAAGGAAGTGAAGGACACTCTCTAAAGTGCAGCTCTGCACTTATCTGAAGCACGTAAGCAAATGTTTTAACAAAAGGCTGAAATTTTAAAATAAAAATATTACCCCCTTTTCTTTGAAGGAAAGCCAGGAAGATTACAAGACTCAACTGGTTTTAACAGAAAAGAAATAGTGACTGGAAAAACATAAGGAAGTGCTCAGCTCAAGAGACTTTAAGGCCTGTTGGTGCAACTTCAGTGGAAGGTAAAAACAAAGCTAAAATAATAATTTATGCTGATCTTTTTTTCCCCTCCACTTGGTTTTCTGTTAGACTATGCTAGGCCATTTCTGACTATTTGAACAATCAAGTGTTGTATATGTGAACTTTCATTCATATCGAAATGTAACTGTTGTTTATAATGTAACTGTTTATAATCTGTTAGTGAAACAGCTGTTCCATTTTGTTCTTTTTAACTCAATACTTTGTCACTTCAAAAAAATGATTGGGCTAGAAATGTAAAAAGCTGGAGGTCCCTTGGGATCGTTAGAACCAAAATATTCAGAGCTCTTACACAGCTGGCTTACAAAACTTGTGAAAACATTACTCAGTGTGCTTTAAAAGAAAGTTCTGTTTGTCTAGCTGAACAGGGCAAAGTTCTCCTCTACAATCCATGCTGTGTTTACCTGTTGTGTGTCGAACTTTAATTCATGTCAATGGAAGATTCACCCAGTGAGTTCATGCAGAATGTGCATCTTCACCTCCTTGTTCTGTGAGACCAGCTCAGATCTCAAAGGCTACACAGGTTGCAGCCAGGGGCGGCTCCGCTTCAGGCACCAGTGCAGCAAGCGCGTGCTTGGGGCGGCAAGCCACGGGGGGCGGCCTGCCGGTTGCTGTGAGGGCGGCCGTCAGGCTGCCTTTGGCGGCATGCCTGCGGGAGGTCCGCCGGTCCCGCGGCTTCGGCGGTAATTCGGAGGCGGGGACGCTGAACGCGCGGCACCGGCGGACCTTCCGCAGGCATGCTGCCGAATCTGCGTGACCAGCGGATGGCCGGAAGGCGAGCCGCCCGAAAGCCGCCTGCCTGCCGTGCTTGGGGCGGCAAAAACCATAGAGCTGCCCCAGGTGGCAGCTGGGTCAATAATTGCATGTGAGATTTCTCCATCTCTAACCAAAATAATCTTTTAAATCCTGCAACTTAGTAGTAGTGGTGATTCATTCTTCTCTCTGAGTAATAATCACTAAACCAGGCCCCAGAATGGAATTAACCATCACTGTGAAGCTGAAGATTTGATGTATTGGCTGTGGCATAAATATGAACTCTTAGCCATTTATGAGTGTATTGAAAGTCAATTTGTATGTTCTGTTTAACCTGTCTGTCTCCTTTACAGTCCCTGACCTTTCTATGACCTGACCTTCCCATTACCTTCCCTTCAGCTCTGAGTATAGGATGTTCCTCCTGGACAGCCATAAACTAGGCAGGGAATTTCTCCTCTTCTGTGAGGAATATACCTGAAAGCGTGTTCCTGTAGCCTGGATTTGTTGTATGTCAGTTTCTCTCCTGACTCATTAAAGAGCCAGGGGTGGTTTGCATAAGAATAGGAGTGTTTAACTTTTAGTGTCCTGGGGAAATTCAATTTTTGTTAATTATAAATAACCCCTTCAGTTGGGGGTTAGATAAGATGTCCTTAACTTCCTGGCCTAAAAAGCTGCTGTGTTCTATCCAGAAGCAACTGTGTGTCAGTAGTAGGGGAAGCTGATGCTTGCCTACCTCCATAGGGATGTTATAGCTGACTTAATGTTTGTTTGTAAACTGGGTTGAGATTCTTGGATGAAGGGTACCGTAAAAGCAGTGCTTAGATATCACAGCGCTGGGCGCGCTAGGAATACACAGTAGCATTGCTTCCAGTCCTCCTTTACTGGCAGGACCAATGTTGGCACATTTGGGGGGCTTTTAAGGTGGCAGGGGAGGGGCTTATAAGAGAAAGTGTTCTGAAAGAAGTCTAAGAACTGCCGTCCCCTTTAAAAACAAAACAAAAACTCTGGTGCCCCGTTCTGCTTTCAGTCACCTTAGACAGTGCATCTGCATGTAAACAGGGGCAGAACTGGAAGAAAAAAGCATGTGTGAGCATGTGATAATTTAGTGAGAGAAGCTGTTATCTAGTCAGTTTTTCCTGCGCTGCCTTATATTTAAGTTTGTTTTTCAAAACAGGTTTTACAGTAAATCATCCAAGCTTCTTGCATAACCCGAGAAATGAAGCAATAAGATACAGACTAGAAATCCAAGCTGGACTTCTTAATCTATCTTCTGTCTGGGTTAGGGACTGTCTATAACTCTGTGTACAGCGCCTAGCACAATGGGGCCCCGAAGTGCTACTGTAATTCAGCTACATAAGGGTAAAATAATCTCTATTTCTTGCATTTGTTATCTTTCTCTGGAAAAACAAACAAACCCTTCATTCCCAAACAGACCTGTTCTGTCATAAAGGAAAGGCAGAACAGCACCATACTACTGTAAAAGGAAAGGCAAATCAAAATATTTGTTATCCTATTCTGACACTTCAATGCAGCAACAGCGCAAGACTCAAAGCCCATGTATCATTTCCACATCAATAACGATGAGGAGAAGGTAGTCCTACAGAGCAGTGTAGATCATTTCGGAACTAGGTCCATTCAAACAAAATGGATTGTGTAATGGATGCTAGATTGGATTATACTGTTCAGGTACAGTATAGATAGAAATGTGTAAAATACCTTGCTTAAACAAACTCAGCCATACCTGGCACAGCATTAAAGGATCTTGTGACGAACACGTCTGGTGTGGCTATAAGTAAGCACATCTGGCCAGTCCATATCTGCTACAGAGGAACATGACATAGAGGGGAGTAGTGAAAGGGAAAATGAAGGTGTGTGGTGGTTTGTTTGTTTTTGTTTTTTTTTCCAACTTCTGAATACAGCACTGAAGAGACGGATACTGGAATACTGTGTCCAGTGCTGGTGTCCACATTTTGAAAGCTATATTGAGAAACTGGAGAAGATACAGAGTCGAGACACAAAAATGATTTGAGGGCTAGAAAAAATCTGTTAGAACGAGAGATTTAAAGAGCTTAATTTGTTAAGCTTTATCTAAAAGAGGATCAAGAGGTGACTTGTTTAAAGTGCACAAATATCTTCATGCAGAGAAAATATTGGGTAATAAAGAGCTATTTAATCTTGCAGAGAACGATATAACAAGAACGAATGGAGGGAAGTTAAAACCAGAGCAATTAAAATTTTTAAAAGGCACAAATTTTTAACAGTGAGGGTGATTAACCATTGGAACAAAACACCAATGGAAATGGTGGATCTTCCATCTCTTGGTGTCTTCAGATTAAGACTGGATGCCTTTCTGGAAAACATGTTAGCCAAACACAAGTTATCGAGCTCAATACAGGGGGAACTAGGTGAAATCTATGGCCAGGGTTATGCAAGTGGTCAACACAGATGATTGAATGGTGCCTTCTGGCCTTAGAATCTATGAATTTCACCCATACTGTTGCCAAACTCAAGCATACCAAAATAATTATAACACGCATTTTAGTTTGGGGGGGGGGGGGGGTCTTTTGATGGGTGGGTTTTTTTTGTTTTTGTTTTTCTTTGTCTTTTTCCTTTGTTCTTCAGACTCTAGTGCGCACTTGCTTCACATTTCCAAGCTTCTCTGTAATCGTGATGACTAGAAATTTCTTTTACTTTTAAAAAAACAAAAAACAGCTGAGATTCACATGGGGTTTAAAACAATACCTACCCGATATCACAAGACTTGTGGCTGGCAACATGTCAGCTAGTTCATGGGAAGTACCACAATGACATGACACTTTTTCAGTAGAAAGTCTACAGGAAAATAAAGGAGGGAGGTAAACATTGTGTCAGCTCAGATGCCTGTGAACTCCAGAAATTTTGAAAAACAAGGCCAGGCAGACAGAGAATGAGCCAATATCAGGTCTCTCCAAACCATCCTCAATAAAAACGCTTCCTGTTTCCTCCAAGATACTTAAATTCCAGCAAGGCCTAAGGAATAATATACCAGTTCTGGTTTCAGCTTCCTTCCTGAGCATGAGTAAAGACAAATAAATACATACACTAAAAAGCCGTCTTTTCAGAAACTCATCTAAAAGCAGGTTCCTGAGGAAATGAACTCTCTCATGCAACAGGCCTGGTGAGTCTCTGTTCAGAGCTCACCTGTGGTGGTCAAGGTAATGAAGCGGGAAGTCTTCTGTAAACAACAATTCTAAACCACAAATTCAGACTTAAAACTTTTAGCTAAACAGTGTAATAAACTAATTATGGATTATTTCCTCCTTTACTTACCTGCCATGACCTGGCTTTAGGTGCTCTCCCTGTCATCTGCAGTAGTGACATTTCTGATGCCTAAAGCAATTTACAGAATATGGCTTCTCACTTCAGGGGCTTGGCTTCACTGTTTTAAGCTGAGTTATAACTCGAGTTGCCCCTAACTCCAGTCCCATCCACACGCTTGGGTGACATAGTGTTTTTAACTCAGGTGGGCTGGCCAATTGGGGGGAGATATAAGCTACTACACAAGTGAGCACTACTAGTCGGCTGCTTACACAGCTACTCAGTAGGGTGGACACATGTGAGCACTGCTAGTCCTCCAGTACTTTTCCAAATTTCCCCCTACGTGCCCAGAAAGGACAGATAATTTCTCCCACAATTCACTAGGAAAGAATTAATGGAGCAGTACAACTTAGTGCAGTACAAAGATCCATGGGATGCACCTCCCAGAAGTCCTTGCAACACATATGAGCGAGTACAGCACCAGCGTAGACTCGCCTCCTGTGTTCTCTTGCAGTGTGTCTAGTCTGACTCAAGCGAGGCTGACTCAAGAGGAGTAACTCAAGCGTAGATAACTCAGGTTAACTCTGCAGTGAAGACATACCCTAGGTGCTAGGACATGTCACGAAGGAATAAATTCCCAAGTCAGATTGGCAAAGACCCTGAGGGGTTTTTTTGCGTTCCTCTGCAGCGTGGGGAATGAATCACTTGCTGGCTTCAGCTAGAGTAAATGGTGTATTCACTGTAACTCGACCTCTTTAAATCAAGATTTGAGGACTTAAATAACCTCTGGCTGAGTTACTGGCCTGTTACAGGGATGGGTGCGGTTCTGTGACATGTGATGTGCAGGAAGTGAGACCAGATCATGATGGTCCCTTCTGGCCTTAAAGTCTGTGAGTCTGTCTTCAGGAAACCAAGTGCTGAAACCTAGTGTTAG